CAGCATTATGTAACGGAAGGAACATAATGGTTTTTATGTTGGGACCAAAGATAAGCTTATCAGTAGATAACAGCTAAGGAGCGGCATTGCGATAAGCAGTTCTCTGGGTGGCCTCTGCGGTCTATTACACGGTCTTTTATTTGTCACGTGGAGAGACATCAGCTATGTAAAGGCTGCGACAAGTAAGTTCTTGCCCTTTTTCTGCGAACAAGCTCAGCGAGCACATCTCAGCGAAAGTGAAAGTCTATCGCAACTCATTTTTGTTCCCAGTTTATCAGGCAAGTTTCATCATTTTGTCCTGTTTTTTCTTTTTGTCTTATTGTTGTTGGGTACATGGCGCCACTTCAAATTTTAATCTTGGGACACTCCTTTATTCGTCGTCTTGCTGGGTTTTTGCAGAAAAGGGGGCACGAACACCTCATGGCCAAACTATCACCTCTAGGGTCCATACGCTTTCATGGTGTAGGTGGCCGCACAATTGCGAAGGTTCGGAAGTTTGATTTAGGCATAATTCGCCGTCTAAGTCCTGACATTCTAGTCTTGGAGTTGGGTTCTAACGACTTAACCAAACTGCCGGCACAAACCGTCGGTTCGGAGCTTGAAACTTTAGTGCGATATCTGCACGACGAGTTTAATGTGAAAAGCATTGCAGTATGCCAAGTTATTCGGCGGCACTCCCCTCAGTGTACTGCGTACAATTTAAAAGTTACCAAACTTCATTTGCATCTTAAAGCTGTTCTCGAACCAATACCTTACTGCTTGTACTGGAAACACAGGGGTTTCTGGAACTCCCGGGAAAACATTTACTTGCCGGATGGAGTTCACTTAAATGATTTAGTCAACTTAAAGTTGTTTCGAAGTATCCGAGGTGCAGTCATTAAGGCCGCAGGCCTAGTGGGCTGATAATTTCACGATTTTATGAATACCTAAGTGCATACTTATGTCGTTGTAATATATAGTGACGAGTTAGGCATTTTTCTCTTATAGTCTGACTAGTGCCAATTTTACTTATGAGTTATCGGTGCCCGACACATGGCGTAATTAGTGTATTTATTTTTTGGCGGCTATTACGATAGTGTGCCCAGTGTACTCAGGCCATTATAGGACGTTTGTCCTCAATATGTCCATGCACCATATACTCTATATTTTGTTTGTCGCTTGAGACAGGCCTGTCAGAATTTTTGCCTCAAGTCACATGTTCATTTTGTGATATAGTGATACCCGACACAATTTTTGCGCCCGGTGAACCTTGGTGCGCCTATCTCTATTGTTTTGTGTCCATGTATCATATATCCGCATTTTTCCTCTATTGCATCCGATCCGTTGCGTACACCAAAATTTGGCCGGCTGACTGCAACCCGTTTTTTACTCTCTTTACTATGCTTTGTTTAATTACTTATGTTAGTGGTCTTAGTCATGCGTCACTGGTCATTAATGTTGTGCGGTTTATTTAAGTCATGCCTCCTAAGAGAAAGTCAGCTAGACAGGCTGGTAGGTCAGCTGCCAAGATCACAAAACGAGCGACCCCATCCTCTAGTACCTCGAGTGACCTGGCCGAGGTTTCAGCAGCGCAACAAACAGCTGAACCTGTGAACATCGGGGACTTAACGCGCGTGGTCATATTGGCAGTGACAGAGGCCCTGAAAGCAGTTGGAGTTGGGCAAACGACCCCATTATCCAGTCCCCCCACGGTTAACCTAAGTCCTGGGCCTGTAGATGCCTCAGCCACAGTGGAGACCGCCACAGCTGCGGAGATAGCCAGCATTTCATCCCTGTCGGCGGGTATGTCAATCTCAAATTCCAATGACAAACCTAGTGAAGTGAACTTCACGAGCGTAGCAATTGATTTGGAGGCACGGGTGTCGGCTAAGGTCAAGGCAAAGATCTGGGCCGATGAATACATTGATTTTGGGGCGCTACTATCGTCTTTTCCCGACGATGATAAATTTATTCTCTCTTTTAACAATGACGGCAAATCGCCAAGTCTTTGCCTCGAGCCATCCAAACCAAAGCCTAAGTTTTTATCCTTGGGGCAATGGCAGACAGCTTTTAACACCTTTGTGGCTGTTTATACAGTTAAATACCCGCTTAAGGTTGCGGCTTTGCTCAAATATTGTGACGTTGTCAGAGATATTGCTAATAAGTCGGGAAACTGGCGTTATTACGACCAGCAGTTCCGCTATTTGCGTCAAACAAATCCAGAGAAATTTTCCTGGGACAGGGTAATGTGGGAACTTTGGAATCAGGCCATCCACGTAACATCAAAATCTCCACCGGATAATACACGGAATAAAAAACCCCAAACCCGGCCATTTCTGTCCTTTCCAAAAGGTGTGTGCTGGAAATTTCACTCCGGCGAATTCTGTGCCGGCTGTCGATTCAAGCACACGTGTTTTAAGTGCGGTGCCACGCATCCCGCAACTCAGTGTCATGCCAAGCCCAGTGTCCAGCATGCATCCTCAAGTGGAGAGGACAGAAAAGGATCCGCCCCACTTAAATTGCGGTCCAACTCCAGTAAAG